ACTGTGCTGTCACAAACATGGGTGTGTATGTCACAGTAGTGTGATGACTTTAGCTCTTTCTAGAAGACATCCAGAAGAGAGATCTTTAAGATAGCTGGGTCAAATGGAATCTTACTTTTTTGAGGACTCTTCATTCTGATTTCCAAGGTGGTTATACTAGTCTACATTTATACCAACAATGTAGACCACTTCCTTCCCCCCACAATCTTGCAAGCATTCATCATTTTTGAGTTCTTGATTATAACCATTCTTACTAGGGAAAGGTGGAATCTCAGAGTTGTTTTGATTTGCATTTCTCAAATCGCCAAAGATGCTGAGCATATAAAAGAAGTATTTCTTTTAATAATTGGTAGAGTTGAAGTAAATTCTGAGGATGAGGAGGCAAGGGGATGTATGGAGAAATAACAATCTTTTATATATTCCTCTCTGGTTATTTAGAAATACAAGCCACTGGTCGCCCTCTTTGGTGAGCACAGACTAGAACGCAGGGCAGCTGGGAGCCGCTGCCGTAAGATACACCTATGTGAGAACACTAAGCCATCTCTGTAGTACTTATGTGGTGCACATCTTCCACCAAACTCTTTCACCTGTTATTCCATCCCCCCTCAGAGAGGCGGTTGTTGATGAGTGAAGATACTGTGAAGGAAAGCCTAGTGACACCGAATGCGTTTGTGTGCTTCAATTAGGGATCTTTGATAGAGAGGGAAATGTAGCCAAGTGCTAAAAATAGTCTCTCTGCACATTTCTCGACATGTGCTCAGGCACAAATTATCCCAAATATTTTTGATTAATATTGAACCGTGAACAAATTTTCCTGGCCTTGTTTAAAATGTAGGTTTCCATCTGTCATTTAGACAAATTGTCATTTGTCATCATGGCTGACTGAGAAAGCCCCTCTCCTCCCCACTGTATTTAATGCACATGGGAACTCAGCTTGTCAAGGGTTGCTCTCTGAAGAAGGAAGGAGAGACTACTGGATGCTTTTTGAGTGGAGACTAGGCTAGGTCAGCAGAGATACTAGGACTGAATGCCTGTGCTCTGTGTCACTGTCACGTACCGCAGCCTAGCGCTATGAGTTTATGAAAGAATGAATACTTCCTCTACGCACCCTTCCATCACTGTAGTAACCACATACTTTTCATTTTTAAACACAAACTTGCAGTCATATCATCTATTACTGAAGCATCACTGGCATTACAGGGATCCCCACCTTCTCCAGCCCCTCCTCACCTGTGGGAACAAGTCCAGGGGATTCACTCTGCTGAGCATTGCCAGGACAAAGGCAGCTGTTTTTCCCGTTCCAGACTGGCTCTGTGCTATAAGGTTCTGGGGTCTGTAGAAAACAGGAGGCCTCTGGGTGTAAACTGAACACAAAGTCTTGGGCATAAATTGAACTGAGTGCACTAAGAATAACCAAGCTGGAATACCAATACCCTCGGAACTCACGGATGTGCCAGCATCATAGGAAGAGCCATCTCCTGGATTTTGGATGGCCTGTTAAATCCCATTGCATAGATCCCTTTGAGTATCTCTTCCTTTCTGTCAAAAAAAAAGAAAGAAAGAAAATAAAAAACATATGATCATGCTTCTACTAAGATAAGAAGCTGTACTCTCAGCCTCCGTTAAGGACAGGGTAAGGGCCTCAACTTAGACTTCGCATTGAGCAAAGGAAAAAAACAAGGAAAAATCAGTCTGATCAAAGGAGTACACTGCTTTGTTAGGAAACTTATATTTTTCACATGAGACATCAAATTGACATTTACTGCTTGGTTTTTTATATAACAACTTTTTAACAGCTATTTTCAAAAAAGGTATTTTATTGAGTTGATTCTTTTACCAGTTTTCTGAAAAGTCATTATTATATCACCTTATTCTGAGATAGTTATAAAACTCATCTTTCTTGGACTCTTACGCAAAAATGTTAGAAGAAGGACAAAGCAAGTTGGCTGGAACACTTTTGCTGTTAGTGACACCCAAGCTTGGATGTCCCTGATTGGTAGATGAATTGGCAGGTGACTGGCAATGATTTTTAATCATAAGGAGGCCTTTCCTACCATTTAGGTAGAAAATTCTGGACCTTAGGATTTTGAATTTTTTTTTTAAATCAGTACCAGGGATCAAGCTCACGACCGCACGCTTACAAGGCAGGTGCTTATGCTGCTGAGCTAAATCCCCAGCCCCTGGATTTTGGATTTTTATCATGTGCATACATTTATTTATATGTTACAGAGCAAGGGCATCCCCCAAACTAAGACACTTGTAATGAAGGCTAAACTGGAGAGGAGGAGAAATAAGAATCTGATTACTTGTCCTGGAGATACTCACTGAATATGGGCTCCTTAAGACCCAGAAATGGTTTCTAAAGCTGAGGAAAGCCCTGGGGTGAGTACCAGCACTAGCTCAGACCTGTCCACAGCTTTTCCATCCCAGCAACAGGCTGAGGGGACACAAGTAGAATGTCTTGACTTGCCTGCCGGGTGAGCTGCCAAAATCCTACCAAACCAGGCTCATTTGGTCCATGTGCATGGTGGGGAAAAGGGACCTGTTTGGTAACACATATTTGAAACTTCCCCTTTTTGTTAAATATTTTTCCCTAATGTTAGCTGATAACTCCCTAGGGAATCCAAAATGATTTGGGAAAGTTACCCATTTTAATAACACCTGAAACAAAACATGGGCAAATAATGGCTAGTAACTTATCCAAAGCGGATGGCGAGGATGTTTGGATGGTTAGCTCCTCTGTCTGACTTCTGATATGGTCAGCAGCAGGATGGCTGCACCTGGTTCGGCTACTCTCCTTTCTACTGCAAGACTGACATATTTTACTATCGGAACTTCTTGCCTGCCATGGTGGCACACGCCTGTAATCTCAACACTTGGGAGGCTAAGTCAGGAGGTTGCTGATTTAAGACTGGCCAAGACTACATAGTGAGACTCTGTCAGAAACAAAACAACAAAATAACCCAAAAAGCAAGACATAAAAAAGTTCTCAATTTCCTGGGCAACTAGAGTTTTCTTTTGAGCTATAGCTTCATTGCATGCAAAATGTACACATTCATTTTAATACTATTAGAAAACAAAGATTGTAACAGTTTTTCATCATTATGAATAGTTTATTGTGCGCTATACTTTAGTATTTTCCAATACTAAAAGAGTTAAAATACTCACAGCCGTAGCTCTTCAAATGTTTTTACTGAGTAGAGTGGAGAGTTGGGGTCCTTTTGTAAGACTTCCACTAGGTGACTGGATTCTACTAAGGACTGACGGATTAACTTGTTTAAGAGCGAATTAGCTGCCAAATCCACTAGAAAAGTAAAAATTAAAAAGAGGGGCATCAAGTCTCCTGAAGATGTCTAATAAGTTGCTATCTATCATTCAGCGGCTGCATATCAAGTAACTGCACCTACTCTTTTTTTAAAAAGAAGATTCTAGAAAGAATGATGTAGCATTGAGAATCTCTTCTTTCATGTAGATCTAATTTCTCATGCTTTATTACTACATCAGTCTCTAACCTCAAGGTGCCAACAGCTATCTCCACCACACCTAATTCTTCCTCGCTTGCTGGAAATTCTTTTCTCCCTGTGATCCCATTTCATCTTCCTCTTAAGAAATATGTCCTCTAATTTAGTATTTCTTTTGATATTCATTCTTCATAAACAAAATAGAAGCAAACTTGTTTTCTCAGATACTAGTCATTCACGTTGTAAAAGTGATGATAAATTGAAACAGAATGCTAGTAGACATATGCAAACGAATTTATCTCCTACCTACATCATCTTCATCATCATCTTCAGGGTTATTAACAGAATCATCTAAAAGGACAGAAGAGAAACAAACATAGATAAATGCTGAACAGAAATGTAGCGTATTCTACTGCAATATTTTTCCAACTCTACAGGGTATACCAACAGACTTGGCTGATCAAAGAGTGGGCAAGAGTGATTGGGAATGTGGTGGAGGGTCGTAAATGTTAAATTAAGGCAGTCAAAAGCATTTCAGCTGGCTGAGACTTGATAACAGAAATGAATTTTAACTCACTTGAGACCAGTCACTCACCTATATTTGGGACTGTGGTACTCTTAATACCCAGAAGGTTCTTCCGGGGGTGGATGAGATTTGAAAACTATTGAAAGACACAAAATTTAACCTATATTAGGAAGCACGCCATTAAACTGCCCGGGGGGCCTCCACAACTAAAAATGGAAGTTAATTCTGGGAAGACTGCCCCTCCCCGCAATGGTTTCCTTTGCGATGTTAGGTATCAATGGATTCAGGAACAGGACTCCTGTATGAACTATTTAGTATCAGAGACTTTCTGTAGTCTGCACACGAAGCTCCTGTTTGGCCTGTAGTTTCAAGAGGGGCAATATGGGGGGGAGGGGTCGGAGCCCAGACAAGAGGGAGGTGACTAGGAAAGCATGTTGGTAAATATAAGATGGCCCGGTGAATCGTAAAATTACAGTACAACTCTCAGCAGAGTACGCATCAGCTGCTTCCCTTCCCGGGATGTGCAGGTGTCTTCATTTTGCCCCATTCAAACCGAAGGTCGTAGCTCTCAAGAGTCCTTCCCTGTGGCCTCCCTCCAGACCCACCCGACATCTCCCCTCCACTATTTGACACCCCACTTCAAACGTGCGCCGGGGGTTTTCCCCGGAGATTTCCCTCCGCTAGTTCCGATCGTCGCCCCCGCCCCCTTTCCCTCCCCGGCTCGGTGGCGGTTACTTGGCTGTTCAGCCGCTCGCCGTCCGCCGCCCCTGCGTCGCCAGCCCAAAGTAACGACGCCATAGCTGCGACCGCTGCTCCCGCCCCCAGCACGTGCTCCCACCGGGGCTCGAGGCAAGGCTCAGCCCCGCGCCGTGGCCAATGGGCTCGCTCCGGGGGCTGGCCTAAACCCGCGACCACCCGCGGCGCGGCGCGCAGGCGCGGTGGCTCAGACCAGGTGGGGCCGCGGGAGACGCCAGCCGGAGGATTCCGGGAGACTGACTGCGAAGCGTGGGATCCGCGCTGGGTCGGAAAACGGGGAGGAGGCACTGTTGTAGTAAACGCTGGCCAGCTGCTGACCTCCGCTGAGTCAGCCTGCAGCTGGGGATTGTACGTGGCAGCTGTGTCCCTACTGATTCCAGAGTTCTGCACCTCCTACCCCACCTCGCGGAGCCCGACAGTAGCACCCCGGAGGTGAGGCTGTAACCCACAGCCTGCTTCAAGCTTTCTGCCCGTGTCTTACCCTTGGCATTTCCTCCTGCACGTTAAAAGGGGTCAGAAAAGCCAGCGAATCACATAGGAAAGTCGGGACAAAATGGGTTTGATCTGATGAAAGCACTGAACGCGCCAGCTGCGGAAAGAGGGCAGAGTTCTGATGCTGTTGTTCCTGCCCTAGGTACCTCTGTGCTGTTTCCTCACAGCAGCTCGCTTTACTTTTTATTCTGCGATGTCCTTTACTACAGCAACGCCTAAAAAACCTTTTCTTTCGGAGTATCTACTGGCTGCACAATCCAGGATAGCTCCCGTACTGATGACTGCTAAATTTGGATTAAAAGACTCGAATTTTTTTTTACTTTTCAAACTAGAATTTTGAGTGTTGAGTCAGCATCTCTGGAATTGGGGACCAAACCACACCCCCACAAAACTGTCAAAATGCTCTCTCCGTGGTGCTGAAGCAACACTCCCCATCCTGTCCCGTTCCTCAGGGCTCTTCCCTATTTTGTTTTAAGGTTGAGACGTTTCTTTTTAGCCTTTACTTTTGGATTCTAATAGTCAACGTTTTTGTCTGAATAGTTACTATTTGTTATTTAACTAGGCACAAAAAGGCCAGGACCTTTAATTTTGCTGTAAGTTTAGCAGACATCTGAAAGTTAGTTTCTTTTTATTTATTGTTTTAGTACAGCAGTAGACATTCTTTTTTGTACCATCACAGGCTCCAGATCCTGTCCGGTCAGGGTAGAGAAACCGGTGGCTGCCCTAGGGACCCTCTGGGTGGCAGATTCCACTTCAAGCTTGCGCCCCTTTCTCGGAACTACGTTTCCCACAACCGCGCGCGGCACCTCTCGTGAAGCCTCGCGAGTGCGAGAGCCAGCAACTTCCTGCTTCGCGGAGGGCCGCGCGGCCGGCGACCCCGGAAGGTGAGTGTGGTATGCTGAGGAACGTGCAGGTAGATTTGTAGCTGAAGGGTTATTTCTTCTGACCCTCCCTTTCCTTACTTTGGTCTTTTTTTCAAGAAAGCCCTCGGGTATGGAAGTGGGACCTCGCTTAAGACCGTTTATTTTTCTTTTGTGCTTGGTGCTTCTGGAAGAAAGTCGCATTAACTGGGCTCGGCAGCTTAGAGGGGTCCTTGGACTGGAGTAAGTCGGCTGCACAAGAATTGTGCGCTCAAAAAACTAAAAAGTAGAACTCGTGAACCCAGTAGAAAGCAAGGAGGTGTGGCAGCAACTTTCAGATTATTTGGAGTGTTGCTTTACATTCCGAAATAGCTTTTTTCCCCCAGAAAATATTACTGATGAGTTTTTAAAATTTTATTGGTACATTTTAGATATGCGTAGTGATCAGGCGCGGTGGCTCAGGGAATTTATACCAACGAATTATTAATGGTTCTCTTTAATTTTTCATATTTAGGAATGCTATTGATATTATTCCACTCATTCCTTAAGAGATTGACCTCGCTTTCAGATAATGCTGTGGAGAAAGCACTGCACTGGGTCTTAGCCTTCAGTTCTTTTTACCAGAAATTTGACTAATTTAGCCCCCAACCCTAAATCCTCAGCTAATAATGGGGTTAAGCAAGGGTAACCTATAGTAACTTTTCAATTTTGATGATTTGAACTTTTGAGATACAGGAGAGAGAAATTTACTTACTGTAAAAAGCACCGCGTAATTTTGAAAAACTGAATGGTAAAAAAAATTACCTAGTTTTAATTTTTCCCTGTGCCCTTTGCTTGCAAAAGTAGATGGGTTACTACCTGTTTGCTTCACTTATTTTGCGTCTCCCCATGTTAGTTTCTATGGCATTTTACTGTTTCCTAAGGAGACAGCCACTAAGCAGACAGGTTACAGCTTTAGGTATGTGAAGTGAATATATCCTACACTCTTGAGTCACTCATTACTTCTCTTCCTGATAAATGTCTAACAAACTGGGAAGTGTATTGTGTAGATTCAAATATACAGTATGTATTCTAGCAGGTAGTAATGGTCATTTCATGTTCTACAGTTTTTTTCTTCACACATACTACTTCTGCTGTCCCCCTGCAGGCTTCAGTTAAAATATAATTTCCAGCTTCTATCCTTCAAATTAGAACTGTCATGGAAATAAGTTGCAGAGTAAGGTGATAAGAAGAAGATCTGCACCCCAACAGTTTGGATTAATTTTGGTATTTTACATTTGCATGAGATTCCAAATGTTAGCATTCTGAAATTATGTTGTAGGGAAGGAATCATCTTCAAGTGACAGGTATAATGCCAAAGAAAATCTGTAGCAACTCTAGAAAGGCTGGTGTACCACAGTTGACAACTGGAATTTATCACATCTCTGAAACAAAACTTGGGTTAGAATCTCATAACACAGATTATTTTGAGGCACATATAGAAAGCATTTTACATAGCCGCCTGGATTTACTACTTTAATAATGGAGATTTATGCCATTATCTTTCCTCCCTTTAGATGATGAAGAGGTGCAGAATCACAGCCTAGGTTTGAGATCGTCTTTCTTTGGGAAGCATTTCCTAAAATTAATGTTCAAACTCATGAGTTTCCAAAGTTTTTTAATAGATAAGTTAAATGCTCACCAGCTTTAAATCACATTAAAACATAGTACTTACACTGGCCCAAAGTAAAAAGGTGCTTACTAATTGGACAACATATAAAGGCTAGGTAGGTTTTTCTTTCTCTGGCATGTTTCTTGTAATTTCTGTATTTAAGAGTAGTAATCTGGAAGCCAAATTGTGCTTGACAGCCATATGACACACATCAGGGGAAGACTAATGAATGGGTGAAGTCCTTACTCTGTATCACTTTCTAAGGCAGTTGTTTCTATTTAAAAGGAAAGGGATGAAGAAGCAAGTTATCCTAAATAGTCCTGTAGGAGAGACAGATTTAAAAAAAGACTTAAGAAAAAGGGAAGGGAAGTTTCCTGGGCATGTCACCATTTGCAAGGTCACACCGAACACCCCAGCGAATGGCGTATCTTTTTTTCTCAGTTGGTACTACGTAATTGTTTGGAACATACATGTGTTGAGGCTTAGCCTGTGGTTCTGCCCGGGAAAGAAACCTCTCTCGGATACTCCACCGTACCTCCTTCCTATGATCTTCACCAGGCAAACGCATTGAGTCCCAGTCCCTTTTGTATTCAAAGTATCGTGCTACCCGGTCAATCTTGCCCCGGTTTCGGTTTAACTGGTCCAGCCTGGGGAGAATAAAGGACTTGGGTCTGCTGGCGACAATCAGGTCTTGTTCGTAAGCTGGAGGGCCTGTTCCCTCTCCACGTAGATAGCAAATGAACTGATCTTGTGAAATTCCTTGGTGTTCAGGTGGCTGATTAAATTTTTGCGAAATGTCCACTGGGGACTCCCTGTCTTCTTGGAACTGCAAATTCATCAGCCTTTGTTTTAAGTCCCAGAGGTCTGTATCACTTTCTGTGCCACACTCTGATTCACTGATAATCGACTCATCTGTCACTAACACTTCCCCGTCTGGCTTTCTGCGCAGCACCTTTCTCTTCATCACGGGCTTCCGGAGTCTTTGAGAGGCCTCTGAGGCTGTCTGCGAAGGGACAGGGCTTTCTACACGTGGGCACTGCAGTGGCACACGATGGGCAGGTTGCTTCCCTGGGGCTACTGAAGCTTTGCTGTAGGGGTCATACTGGACAGACTGGGCCTCTCTCCTGACATCTCCCTCACCCTGCCCTGCACAGATATGAGCAAAAGCCGTGGCAGCTGCTAACACCGTCTCTTCTGGATCCATATCGGCCCATTGTCTGTCAGGTCCTGTGAGTTGCTCCATTGCCTCCCCAACACTGTAAGGCTGTCTGCAAGAGAGAAGGCTGGTCAGTTTTCTGACACATTTCTAATTTATCAATTGGTCACTGCCTGTTTCAATTTCAGAGTCAAATAGTGTAAGAATGGCTAAAGCAGTTATTCCTAAGAGATGAGTACGGGGTAGTACTGAGACAGTTTACGAGGGTCATCAGCTCAGCTCTGTGGTCAGCTCCCTGCTTTATTTCCATTCTCATTCACTCGCTGCATTTAGTGCCTCCTATAACAACCGATGAGTCCTGGTGTAATAGAAGTCTGGAACTATATATTATGGGATGTGCTGCTTCGTGTGTTGTAAGTTACTCAGAGGGTACTTGATATACTTGACATTGTCCCGTGTGCTTAATGTTTATTAAATCATGTAATTATGCAGGATTCGTTCCTTCCCACAGATGAGTAGCATGGGGCACAGAGAAGTTAAATTATCTTGTTCAGAGTTACAGATAGTAAAGCAGCAAAGCTGCATTATAAACTCAAGCAGTCTGATTTCAGATTGAGTTCTTGCTTTTGTGAGTGTGACACAACCTGAACAGCCATCAAAAAGGGCGTATTATGGTGACATACTTAACTATGTGGTGGCATGTTTATACTTCCTGTGCTCCAGTAACTGTAACACACCTTTGGATGAATGTGTTCATTCTGGTAGCCTACTACAGAAGTAATTTTAAGCTCAGACCCACCAGCTATATGAGCCAGTACTTTATTTTACCAGATTTAAGACAGGTATCTGCTTGCCCGTTTCCTTTCGTGTGCCTGCTATTTTAAGCAAAGATTTTTTTCCCCCTCCTTGCCTAAATTTCAATCTCAAAAGGTAGTTTTGTATAAATTTCTCTGAAATTTTCTGTGTCACATGTACATTTCAAAATATCCTATAAAGGAATTATTGCAAACCTTTTGTGAATCTTAAGAGAGAGTCATGGGGACCCAGCTGTACCAGTACATGTAGACTGTTGCATCAAATTCCAATGTGGACATACCGTAATTTATCAGCCAGTTCCTTATGAACATAATTTAGGTTTATAGTCACTTGTTAAAAAGCAGTGAAGATCTTGTAAGTTTTACATATCTGTGCAAGCATACGGTGCACATGGTCAATTTTGATAGCTGTTGCTAAAAAATGCTTATCTCTAAAGTTGTACCAATAACATGTAAATACAGCCTAAGTTCTCTATCTCCTCTCTAAAGTGCTGCTCTAACCAAACTTTCTTAGCCTTGCAATCAGGCCTGTGAAAAACTGTTCTTACTTACTTTTCAGTTATTTAACTTGAGTAAAACTAAGCACCTTTTTATTTGTAAGCTTTTTTTCTGTTTTGCAAGGGTTGATCTTGCCCATGTACCTTCAGGTTGTTGGGCTTTTTCTGTTAAAAACTAATTATATATTCATGATGTATCTATCTATAGATACAGTAATTTGCCATCATTCATTTTTTACTTACTAGCTTATCATTTGACTTTATTTTTTGCTGGTTTTTAGTTTTAGGTATTCACATTTTTTGGTTTTCTACAGTTTCTAAGATTCTGAAGTCCTTTACTTAGAAAAGCCTTTCCCACTGCATTATAAGAAAGAGTCTACGTTAAATAATTCAGTATTTTCTTTCTTTCTTTCTTTCCTTTTTTTTGGTACTGGGGATTGAACTCACAACCTTGCACTTGCCAGGCAGGTGCTTGTGCTGAGCTAAATCCCCAGCATAATTAACCATTTTCTTTGGTACTTTTATAGTTTTATTTTTCACATTTAAAAGTTTAAATTACAGATAGAAAAATTAAAGGGCCCAAAACTTAAATGAACTACTTAGCCTTATACCATAGCGTTAGGATAAATGTGGAGATACCTTCCACAACTAAGTAACCATCAGTTGCAGATTGCCTAGGACTGTCCCAATCTTAAGGATGTGATGTAGTTGACCCCAGATTACTGAAATCGTGTACATAAGGATCACGTGGATATCTAAAATTGTATCACCAAACTGACTTTTGTAACTATTAACATACAAAATCTTGTCAGAACAATAATTTGGCTTAAGAAGATGAATAATGCTTAATTACCTTTTTTCTGCCATCAAAACTGCTTCATATAAGAAAATCTTGTCTCCAGGTTCTACGTCAAATGTGAAATACAAACATCAATAATACTTCTTCAGTTAGGCTAGCTTCTGTTGTACCACCTTTAAAATAGAATATTAGGTGACAGAACATACATATGTAATACCTCATTCTGAAAAGCAGTAGAAACTCATTTGTAAGTAGCACACAGAAAGAACTCGTGATTAGAAAATTTGAACAAATAAATCAAAAGGAAATATAAGGAAAATATCATGAGTCCTCAATCTGTTAATGAAAACTAATAAAATGAAATCTATAGGTATTTCACCAAAATTTTTAAAAGAAATTAACAAAAGGAAACCTTTAATAGATACATATTGTTTCTTTTCTCCTATAAATTGGTCAGATAGCATGTAAAAATACTGTCTGTGGATGACTAACTCATAATAATTAAACTACTGTTTATTTCTCTGGGCTAGCACTGAAATTGTATTCATTTGTTTTCTGTTCAAGTAGGGTGGAACCGTGTGACTCATTTCTTCCTGGGGTTGACACACCATGGCTGAAGCAGACACCGACAGAAACCAGACTGAGATGCTTCTAAAAAGAATACAAGAACTGGAGCAGGAAGTACAAAGACTTAAAAAGGAACAGTCCAACAACATCAAAGACCCAAACATTAAAGAAAACTCTTCAGGATCTGCAAAAGCTAAGCGTGTATTTGACTTCAGTGCCCACAGCCGACGGCGTGTAGCCCTAAGGATAGCCTATCTGGGCTGGGGATACCAGGGCTTTGCTAGTCAGGAAAACACGGACAATACCATTGAGGAGAAACTGTTTGAGGCCATGACCAAGACTCGGCTGATAGAAAGCAGACAGACATCCAGCTATCACAGGTGTGGGCGGACGGACAAAGGAGTTAGTGCCTTTGGTCAGGTAAGGACTACTGTACCGTTTCTCAAGGCAGGCAGGACCAGGCTGTCCAGATGTGCAAACTGAGTACTGAGATATTTGTATTGTGTCTCTAAAACTCATTATATTTTTCTGATTGCACAGGTGATTTCTCTGGACCTGCGGTCTCAGTTTCCAAGGGGCAAAGATTCAGAAGATCTTAATTTAAAAAATGAAGTCAGTGACGATGCCAAAGAGATCCGGTACACCCACATTCTCAATCGGGTCCTCCCTCCAGACATCCGTGTCCTGGCCTGGGCCCCTGTGGAACCTAGCTTCAGTGCCAGGTTCAGCTGTCTTGAGCGCACGTACCGCTATTTTTTCCCTCTGGCTGATTTAGACATTGTAAGGATGAATTATGCGGCCCAGAAGTATGTTGGTACCCATGATTTCAGGAACTTGTGTAAAATGGATGTAGCGAATGGAGTGATTAATTTTCAGAGGACCATTCTGTCTGCTGAGGTGCGGCTGGTGGGGCAGAGCCTATGTGCAGAGAGCTGGCAGGAGCCCTTCCAGTTATGTCAGTTCGAAGTGACGGGGCAGGCCTTCCTTTACCACCAAGTCCGCTGCATGATGGCTGTCCTCTTTCTGATTGGCCAAGGCATGGAGGAGCCCCAAGTTATTGACGAGTTGCTGAATATAGAGAAAAATCCCCAGAAGCCTCAATACAGGTAAGTTAAATTAAACCAGACCAAACCAAAACCCGCTCCTCTCCTCCATGGCTGACTGAAGGACCGAGTAAGTCACTGTTTCTATCTTCATGAAGCTTTAGTGCTCCTTGCAGAGTGCTAGGAACAGACGGGAGGGGTAGTGTCTTCTAATTTTCTCATGGTTTTACATTAGTAAGGACATATGTTTGGACCAGGTCCTTTAATTGAAAGGACATTCATTCCTACATCTTTTTTCTTAAATTTTTGAATTTTTGTTAACAGCTATTGTTAGCTTTTGGTGAAATTAAAGCATGAATATATTAAATCTTCCTTGTTTTGTATTACTAAATAGCCATACATTACTGTACTTTTCTTAGATTTCCCACTTCTAAAATGGTAGGAAAGGCAGAAAATGGGTTTTTCTTTGAGAGCAGGCTGAGGTCAGACAGATACCATTAACCACCTGACAGTTTGGCCAGGTGCCACTCAGGCAGTGCATTTATGCCCTGACTATTCTGAGTGTTGCTTGGGCAGTGTCATTGCAACCAGTCGATTCTTGTTTGCACGACATAATACTTGTATGTCTGTTTTGTAACATTTATTTATTTTGGTACCAGGAATGGAACTGAGGACCCTGTGCTCGCCAGGTGGGCACTGTACCACTGAGCTTTAATCCCCAGTTCTACGTCAGTTTTTTTTTGGTTTTTTTTTTGGTACTAGGGATCAAACTTGCTACCTTGCGCTTGCCAGGTAGGTGCTTATGCCGCTGAGCTAAATCCCCGGCCCACTTTGTTTTATATTGATAATTTTTGCATATTTTTTTTATTTAGAATGTTGTATTAGCCTTGATATTTGTTTCTAGTGAAATCTAGTAAGTTGTAGTTATTTTATTGTTTGCTTTGTGAAAAATAACATATGTCTGCTACAATCTATAATGTACTTATAAGTACTCTTTTGCTATACAAAATGGACAATTTGGAATACTTAATAGGAAGGAAATGCCAAAAAAATCTACCAAAAAACACACCTGAAAACAGACATGTTAGCGTATCAGAGAAGGAAAAGTCTGTTATAAAATGGAAAGACAAAAACATCTTTTACTCCCAACTATTCATAATACAGAAATGATAGTACTTGAAATAGGAAACAAAACAAAAATTTCCAGTAGTGGTCACTGATTATAATAATCCTATGGGTGGTGATGACAGAGTTGACAGTCATCCAACAAGCTGGCCTGTAATCAAAAAATGAGAAAAATACAACTATTTATGTACCTTCTGCATCAAACAGTATAGAACTTGTTATTTATTCAAAACAAAGGGGTTTTGGGGCTGGGGATTTAGCTCAGCGGCATAAGTGCCTGTCTTGCAAGCAGGCAGTCGTGAATTTGATCCCTGGTACCGATAAAAAGGAAAAAGACCAAAAAAAGGGGGGGGGTGTTTTGAAAAGTCATTTACAATTTAGGTTAGGTCTAAACTACATCTAATAGATGAAATAAATGAAAAATAATGGACAGTGAAATGCCAACCCGGATACCCATCACTGATGTCCTTATTATGTTTAGTGGATGGACATTTTACAGAAATTATACCACCCACAGAAAAAGGGAAAGACCATCACAGCAGTGAAAGTGTACTGTGCAAAGAAAGTAGTGCAAAAAGAATTTGGAAAGAGACTAGACACTACCGTCCAGACTGAAATGACGCACTGTGCATAGTTTTAAGATAAAATTATTGAATAAATTTAATGAAAACCATCATTTTTATGTTTCCTACCATATTAGCTTATAAAAGTTAATGAAAAAAACATGCAATTTTTGGTTACCCTGTATTTAAAGAATTGAACTGGTAACGGGTTAATTTATTCCCAAGCTAAGAGAGTATGGCTAATAAATTTGGATATTTACTATCAGCTGTTTTAAATTTCATAGCATTGTAATACACACGTGAAATCACTTCCAGGTGATTTGTTACTGCTGATACTTATCTAATATAGGTTATACCGAACCATGTTTTGTTGCATGTAAGAAATATAAAGTTGATCAAAGTTAAGCTTAGCTGTTACGTACTTAATATCAACATCAGTGGGTCCCTCTGTCCATCTTCTATCTCAACCCAATCTCAGGACTATAAGAACTGTTGGTAGTTCTGTACTCTCATACTCTGTTTTTTTTTCTCTCTAGCATGGCTGTAGAATTTCCTCTAGTCTTGTATGACTGTAAATTTGAAAATATCAAGTGGATCTATGATCATGAGGTTCAGGAGTTCAATGTTACTCACCTACAACAGCTGTGGGCTAATCATGCTGTAAAAAGCCACATGCTGTATAATATGCTGCAAGGACTGGACTCTGTCATGTTACCCTATAGAACAGAGCCGAACATGGATGGAATGACAGACCAGAGACACGTTAGGCCCTCAGTCATAAAGCAGACTAGTGCCTTTGTAGAAGGCGTGAAGATGCGCAAATACAGGCCCCTCATGGAGCGCCCCAAGTGCCAAGGACTGGAATCCCGGATTCAGCATTTTGTTCGTAGAGGGCGCATCGAGCACCCACGTGTATTCCATGAGGAAGAAACAAAAGCCAAAAGGGACTGTGACACATTGGAAGAAGAGAATGCAATTTTAGAGAAACCAAAAAAGAAGGTCTGTGTAGATGGAGAAATTAAAAACATTATTTAATCACAGCAAACTTATTAGGATGTAAGAGACAACAACCTGCTAGTGTAGATAGGTAGAAAGGAAATACAAAAAAATTTATTGCAACAAGTTCTGGAAATTCTGATGATCAACTCTTTAAAAAATAAAATTGTTAAGGCCTAATTAAGGAAGTTCTTAAGAAAGAGACCGTGCTGGGCGTGGTGGTACATGCCTATGGTGGTGGTACAGCCGTGGCAGGAAGACTGCTGTGAGTTTTAGTGTGGAATATATAGTGAGGTCAAGGCCAGTCTGAACTGTATAGTGGGACCGTGTCTCATAAAAACAAAATAAAACAAGAGATTGAGATGGAACATTTTTCTCATTCTTGTCCAAATGAGATTTAAAAAGGCAAAAAACAACTACAATTTATGTATACCTGGAAACACGTGCCTTGTGTTTAAATTCATTAAAACCTGATCCCACAAGCATCTGATTTGTTGTGTTTTTCTCATCTGAATAATTCCCATAAAAAGCTTTGCCTAACTGTGTTATTTTCTAAGACTGAATTTATAAATATGTATTAAATCAGTTAAAAATAATTTAAATAGGTGTAATGCCAGATGTGCTGCTGCCTAGAATGTAAATGAGGAAGACACCACACTCCCTCAGCCCTTAGCAGACATAAACCTAGTGCAGAGGTAAACGTTTTCTGTAAATGTTTTAGACTGTAAAAACAAAACTATCAGGTGCATATTCTTTAACAACCATTCTGAAATATAAAAGTCATTCTTAGCTCATGGGCCACAGTGTTTGCCAAGCTCTGGACCATCTGTGATAGTTATAACAGAAAGGAGATATTTAAACTAACTCTTGCAGTACAGCTGGGAATAGGTTAAAGTGACAATAAGTAGAGCATCAGTGCATCACAGGCAAAAGGTTCACTTTCTTCTTTTGGTACCAAGGATGGAACTCCTGACCTTGCACTTGCCAGGCAGGTGCTGTGCAGCTGAGTTACATCCCAGCAAAAGATGCAGTTTCTATAAAGGATTAGAGTAGAGCATACACATTATGCAACTATAAATAGTTCAGGTATGGACTGAATGACAAAAGTTTAGAAAAAAAAAAAAAATAAAGGGTCAGATTTGTAGAGCCTGTATTTTTCCTTTAAAGGCCTGGCTTTTACCTGGAAAGGCCAGTGAAGAAAATTTAAGTTAGACTTACATAGCAAAACCAGTGCTCTGGGTATACTGTGGACTGGAATGGGCAGGACTGAGGGCAGTAGGACCAAAAAGGAAGCTGTTGGGGTCATCAAGGCAACAGATGCTGATGCTCTGCAGCACATTTGTAGTAAGGGGACTGGACAGAAGTCGCTGAAGGAGGTTCAAGAAGCGGAAGCAGCCAGACTGTGGTTCAATATGGAGCACCAAATTAGGGAGGCTTTCAGGATAATTTCTAGATTCCAGACATGAGCATGAGAGTAGCTGGTGTATTACAGACAACAAAGAAAAAGGAGGTGGGCCTTTGTTCTCAAAGCAAAGTTGATGTTTATAAAGACCTGTATTATTCAAAAGAGTTCCAGGTTCTTAATACACTGGCCTTTGTAATAAGATAAACAGGAAAGCAAACTAACTGAGACTTCTGTTTAGGGAATCGTGTTCTTACTGCAGCATGTGACCAATGTTTAGAACTACATACTGTTTCTGAGATCCAAATTTTATTTACCAACCAACAAGCCTATGTTTTTTATTTTAAAAACAAAACGGGGGGGGGGGACAAATGATACAGGATTTAAAAAAAAAAAAGGAAATTAACACTAGTTAATATATTGCATATTATTATCTTAGAAATAGTTGTTCAGGTTACAAGATCTAGGCACAAAAACAATGACAACACAAACTGTTCTTTTTGATGAACTAACAAGTTGACAGTATAGTTATCCATCTTGCATACAAATATATACATACCTTTATATATGTTTACCAACATACATCTCTCTTCTTTCTTCCTTTTCTCCTTTCCCCTATCCCAGTTGTTCTTTCCTTTTATCACTTTTTTTTCCTTTCATTATTATAGTATCTATTGTACACTTTGGATCTTATTACTCTTTCAGCCTTTCATTTTTTTTTAATACTAGGGAGACTATCGTATTTATAAATGTGAGTTTATTTCACTTGTATGTATGGTCTCAAATTGCCTCCATTTACCTATAAAAGCCTCAAGATTATCCTTTTTATATCTGAGTAATACTCCATTGTATAAAAATACATCTTTTTTTATCCATTCAGCAGTTGATGGGCATTTGGGTTGTTCCAAGATTTAGCTGTTAAAACAATCCTATGTTTAAGACTCCTAAGACACAAATATGGATTCTGGCATCAACTGCTATTTCAGTGTAATCATTAAACATGGCACAATATCTTAACACATGAGGACAAACGAGTTTTTTTTCAATTTCTTACCTTATTTCAGTGTATCTTGATTGCCATTAATATTCACATTTAAAACCTAGGGAAAAAAAGAGCTTAAGGAATCATTCCTCATTTTAAAAATGTCAACTCTAAAGAATGATAGGACAAAAGGCCTTAGAAGCTGTATGTTTGATGATTCTGTAGAAACAAAGGAAAGGGCCTGGAGGTTTAGCTCGGGCACAAATAACCTGCAAGGCATTTGTTTACAACCCCCCCCCAAACAATAACAACAAACAAGGAGAGGATCAGGCCTCCCACTTTTAAGCACAATCCTTTCAAGATTGGCTAGTCTCTATTATCAAATCCAGAACAGGAAGGATTTCATGACTTCATTATTGACAGTTACTAGAGAAAAAGGGCTCGCATCATGGAGCAAATAAAAATCCCAAGTATATCCTTGGGAAGTTATTTTCTTAGAGTCAGTGCTTGTACAAATTCTAAAGTCTGACCTACAGTACAGACTGTTAGAAGTGAAGTACAGTTTAGACTTTCTGTTTTTAAAATGGAAGCAATTATTTCAATAGCTTGCCAAGTGAGTTTATATGTACAAATAATCCTTTATAGGGACTGAGTTAAGAGGACTCTTGACATTAAAGATTGGTATGTGTATTATAATCAAAATATTTCCTTTATTTAAATTATGTGAAATTCTCATTTTTCTCCTTGAACATATGTAGAGAGACGTTTGTAAACAGCAAAATGCAGACTTTAAAAAACCTGTCACTGTCAATTCTTTTTTTCTATAAAAACAGGATATTCTTTTTCTTAGAAACTTTCACATAGAAGCTATATGCGTAGATGAAAATGGGTAATATTAAACAAAATACCTAACAATATCTTTCCATGAGAAAATATAAAATGAGTCAGTGTCCCAGGCTTAGCCAGTTTCAATTTAAAGGATTTCTCAGGTGGAAAGGTGGAAATTTTAAATCCTGATAGGAGTTAGGTGCATGCATAGATGGGATTCTAAGCATGGAAAAGGGGGATACCACAGAGTTAAGTAAGTTTCTCTCGCATTGGATAGGTAAACAGTAAAGAATCAGCATTAAAACAGCCTATTATAAAAGCAAACACTATAATCATGGTAAAAGGAACAACAAACTGGAGGACTTCTAATACATTTAAAACATCAATTCAGATTACTCTTGTTATTAAAGAGTGCACATTTATAATCCCAACACTGGGAAACAGAGAAAGAAGGATCCCAAATTTAAATCTCACCCGAGCAATTTAGATCTTGTCCCAAATACAAAATACAAAGGGATGGGATGTGGCTCAATGCCAATCCCCAGTATTAACAGAGGAGAAAAGTCCTCTTAATTCTATGTAAGTTAGGGCTAATAAATCTTTCTAAAGGAAATGTCATTTTGAGTTATGTGCCATGATTTTAAAGCCATGATTCACTTTAAGGTATTTATTATAAGGAGTTAACAACATTGAACAAGAATGCAGACATACGTACAAATGATCACTAACATTTTATGATCAAGAAGAAACTGGAAACTACTTAAGCATCATTAGGAGATTGGTTAAATAATGTATGATACAATATAACCATGGCAAGAAATACCATTAAGTACAGTCATTAAGAATGGCTAATCCACATCTATATTTGACACAGAAGCATGTCTCATTGTACTCCTAGCTAAAAAAGGCATAATCTGGTTTTTTAAATTAACAACCTTATTTTATTAAAATTTCCAGTTAGCACAAATCCATTTTATAAGGATATTCGTTTAAATAATGCATATACTCATAATGAATATAGCTTAAGTAAATCCATATGTGAACAGTGTTTTATTTGATGGTTATTTATGGCTGGTGGACTTGCAAATATTTCTTCTCCTCTGGTGTACTTAGTACTATCGCTTGAATTATGTCTAAAAATACAGCCAAAAAAAGCTCTCACGAATACCTGCTTGTCCAATATATCTTCTTAGAATAAATTTCTAGAAGGAAAAATGGCTTAGCGATTGTGGTACAATTTAAAATATAATGCAAAATACAAACTGCCCTCTAGAAAAACGGACTCCCTAACAGAGCATAAGGGTGCTTATTTCATCACACTGTCAGCAGCTCTGGGTACTGAAAAATATTACCAATCTAAAAGGATATTAAGGCCTGCCGTAATCCCTCCACGCTGCGAGGACCACAAGTTCGATCCCAGCCTCGGCAATTTAGCAGCCCTGATCTCAACAGTGTAAAATAGAGAAAAAGAACCGAAGAGGTAGTTAAGCGCGAAGGTTCTAGTTCAATCACCAGAAACTCAAAACTAAATCACCCCAGTTCCCACGCCCCTCAAAACCCCCAAAGCAAACCCGGTCAAATTTCTGACTTGCTTTAATTATGTCGTATACTTTCATAACTAAAAAAGCTTCTGTCCACTCCGGGGTCGGCGGCCCGGGGCCCCTGAACTTTACCTGCTCTCCAAAGGGCAAAGGCGTCTCTCTCGGTCGCACTCGGTGAAGCCCGTAGGGAAGAAGGCTTTGCTCGCCCTCGGGGCACACGCACAGTCGCACCACCTGGCGGAGGGCTCCTCTTGGGGGACCAGGCCTGGGGGCCTCGGGGCGCCCCCAGCCGCCGTGGGGGGAGGGTGGCCTCGCAGACGGCGCCCACTGTGACCTCGAGCAGGGCAGCCAGCGGGGCACAGCGCGGCGCAAACGCGTCAGGAAACCACTACCGTGTCTGACTCGCCGTGAGGCGGTCTGGGGAACTCGGACACTAGGAAGAAAAGCCGCAGCTCTGCACGATCCCTGCCCTCTCCGCGCCCGCCGCCCCGGCGTCCGCTCGCTGCCCTGAGTCCCGCAGCCTCACCAGTGCAGCCAGGACCGCGAGATTGGGTTAGCGGGGCGTACTCGCACTCGCACTCACACTCGCACTCACACTCGCACTCGCACTGACGCACGCGCACACCCAACCCAGGCGCTTGCCGGCCGTTAACCGGCGAACCGCAGAGGTTTAAACCCCAGGGCTCGGCCCCGCCCATCGTCTCTCTCATTGGTCCTGAGGCTGAACGACCTTCACATCTGCATTATGATTGGCGCACACTTTCCTTCCCGCGAGGAACCCCGGGATTTAGGGTTTAGGGTTGGAAGCATCTGGACGCGCCTTGCTTAGGCGCGCAGTCTGTGCAGTTGCTACGTTTCCTGAGTGGACCCTCAGTCTGTGGTTGACGGCGTAGGATTTGGCAGCCACCCCGCGGGCACAGTCTCCGCCCTGGCCAACTCCGGCGGGGCCTCGGGTATCTGCCAGAGCTTGTGTGAGAGGACGCGGAGCCTTGAGTCCTTTCCGAAGCCGAGGAGGCACCTTGACCTGCCTCCTCGCTCTGTGTTCAGCCGCTGATTTCTTCGCTGTTTTTCACCAGAATGCCCTCCCATTATCCCCTTCACGTATCTTACCAAAAAAAGTATAATATATAAAATGCCTGACATTTCAAAAGTCATTGTTTTGTGTATATACCAGCTAAAAATGGCCAAGTGCTTTGGGATTACTGGGTTGAGATCTGGAAAAGTTTCCTCAGTTCAATGCATCGCACCCAACAATTTGTTTTCCTAGATCTGGGTTTTTATTTTTTCACCTTATACAAATGGGCAGGTGCTGATTGTTAGGTTCAATTTACATTGTTTCTTAAATCCAGGATTCCGTGAGAGGAGAAAATACTTTTCCTCCAAACACTTTATATTACCTCTTGCCCCCCTATCTGCACCCCAGTCCCTTCTCTCAGGACCTTCGCACTACCTCTAAGACTAGATTTTTTGAGAAAGGAAATGAGTGAACAGATTAGAGGAGAAAATGGCAGAAATGTGTTATGGAGATTTAAATGTCCCTACTGTTCTATTTTCAATACCACCAGGCTACTTAAATGCATTCATCCCCCCCCCCCCCGTCAGGTTTGGTCATCTCACACCTGCTTGAGTTGTCCTTTGGCATTGAATCTCTGATAAACACATCTTAGAAGTGTGGATGGGCTCATTTTCTACCTAGCGCGTTGGATCTTCAGCATACTCCTCCTCCCCCTCATTACTTTGTTATTCTTTGTTAAATTTTGATTTCTGAATTTGCCTAATTCTGATTTCCATGGTTTCCTGAAATCCCCTGAACCAAAGCCATCTAAAATATAATAAATGGAAGAATGTTCTATGTTTGCAAACCTAATATCTTTAGCAATAGCAACAACAACCACCACAAAGCAGCTAGTATGGAAATCTCAGACATTGAAAAGAACCCAAATATAGGAAGTCTAGTGAACTCAATATCCAGCTCTAGGGATTGTTAACTCATGATCAGTTTTGTTGCTTTCATGTCATTGCCCATATACCTTCTCTTGTAATATTGTTTCAAAGCAAAGACAGGCATCTGAAATATATATTTCAGTATAATCTCTATGAAGACACTTTAAAAGTGTAACACTATTATTACACCTGAAGTATTTAATGTATGCAATATCAAATTTCCAGTTTTACTTTCCTAGTTTTCTCTTTTTTAGTTTGCATCTTTGAACCAGTATCTAATCAAACCCACCCATTATGATTGATTGGTATATCTTTTACATTTCTTTAAATCTCTCAATTCCTCCTTCATTTTCCTCTTGCAATTTGTTTGTTAAAAGAACCAGGTTGTTGGATCAAGTTTCCCATAATCTGGATTTTTCTAATCACATCAAATGGTGTAGTTTAAGGTGGCTTCTTTGCCTGATAACACCCCAGCTCATTCCATCTGCTCTCCCTAATTAGGTGTAACTGGCTGATTAACCCATTAGTGTCTTTATGTACAGTCAAATATTTCAGTTGGTTTTATGGTGATGCTTAAATTGACCACTCCTTCATATTTTGTTTACCTCATTTTTTTGTTGTTCAAACTCCCTCAACCGCCGTTCTCTCTGGTCTGACCAATTCTATCCTTTTTCTAACATTTTCATTTCTTCCCTATTTCAGTCTTCCCAGGACTGAAGGAACAACAGTAATGACATAAAGAAGAGCAGAAGGAAGATAAGCCACATATCCTGTACATTGGTGCCTCCTTTACCGGCCTTGTGCATCCTCCCTTTCCAATTCTCATTGCTCAGCGGCTCAGGTCCTAGCATTCCGAAGTCTACTTTGTCAGCATAATAAACTATACTTTCAAAGGTCACTAGTAATCTTATTAATCAATGCCAATTGCCTTGCTTAGTCCTAAAAGGAGAGGGGGCTGGGGATTTAGCTCAGCGGCATAAGTGCCTGCCTTGCAAGCAGGCAGTCGTGAGTTCGATCCCAGGTACCCATAAAAAGGAAAAAGACCAAAAAAAAAAAAAAGTCCTAAAAGGAGTATTTGATAATTTACTTTTTAAATTATAAATGTTTATTGAAAAGCAACTATGTTCACTCTATGGTGACAAATGAAAACAAAACATCAGTTACAAAAGTATTAAAATATAAAATAGTGATAATTTATTTAACAAATACTTATTGAATACCCATGTTAGGTACTATGGTATATCTTGATGATTTGCAGATGACTTAAAAAAAGGCAGTCTCTGTCCTTATGAATTTTCTTGACATTGATCAATACAAATTATTCTAAAATTACAGTGTAGTCAGTTAATACTAAGAAGGGGCAACCTGCTCAGTGGGAACCTTGAGCAATAGGAGGATTTAGCAGAGTCACTGCACTAAGAACTAAAGGAGAAGTCGGTAAAAGGATGTGAAGGGTGGAGGGGAAAAAGCATATGCAGAGGTGTAAAAGCTTAGAAGTTTTAGGATATTGAAAGGGGACCAACAAAAAGACAGATGAGACTGACAAGAACACAAAGAGCAAATCATGTGGGTTACGTAGGTCAACATGAGAGATTTAGTGTTTTCCATAAGAGCTAAGGAAACGGAAATGTTTTAAGCAGGATTTAGGTATATAATGTGACATGTTCAAGTTTTCACTTGAAATTGTTGTAATGGGGAGAATTTGAGAGGGTCAAGATTACATGTAAAGTCCAAATGGGATAGAGTTGTGTATTCCGGGTGGAAGATGGTGGAAGCTGAGGCGAGGATGTTAATAGCCAGAGAGGTAAAAAATGGGGCAGATACATTTAGTGGCTAAAACCTATAATGTTTGTAATTGCTTTATCTTTTAACTCATAGTAAGGTTAAAATGGCACAACACTTTTACAGTTTCAGAAAATCCTGAGTATGGTTATGCATTATTTATACTGCTGATTTTTTAACCTTCATATATATGTGAAATGAACCAGGTTTATATATATATATATATATATACAATATATTTCAGTTTAAAGAATCCCCTTTAGCAATTCCTGTAAGGCCGATCTACTGGTGATGAACTCTCTTTTTGCGAAAAGCATTCTTATCTGGTACTTTAGTCCATTAACACTTTGAATGATCATCTCACTGTCTCCTAGCTTGCAAATTTTCTGCTGAGAAATCTGAAAGCCATATTAGGTGTTATGGATTAAGAACTGGTGGTCAACTTAATGCCAGCTGGATTACATCAGCATGGCATTGAGCAAAGATGCTCCACCTGAGGAAAGTTGCCAGGATAAATAGGTGGAGAAGAAGGAGGCGTTGAGGGTTGAGGCGTTAATGTGTTGTTGCATGGAGGCATTGTGGGTTCGCCTACGAGTTGCTGTGTGAACCATTGGTTCTCCTGGAGAAGCCCTGGTCATCACATTAAGCATTGCTTCCTGGCTCCGGAGGGGAAGACGTGTGCTGCTTGGTCTCCAGGATGAACTCATCACGCTGCTTCCTGGCATGTACCCGACTATGCTTGTTGTCGGAGGGGCTTGGGGCCTCCGTGTTGCTGAGGATGACTGTGGTGCCTTTCAGGATAGCCCTGGTCTTTGTTGTGAGTGTAACTTCTCGGCTCCAGCGTAGAACCCACAACCCACCTGCATAGCTACTTCATCCTGCTGGCGTAGACTTTCTGGCTTCTACCACTGACCATTGGGCCTTCCCAGCATGGATCCATAAAAGAGACTGGCGTGAGTCCTTGTGGGCTCTGGACCTCCAGTTGGACTCGTGGGAGACATTGTCCTGAGCTCTGGGTTTTATCTGGACTCATGTGAGACATTGCTGTAGGATTTGGGCTCTTGACTAAATAATCTATGTCTTTGGTGTTGTGGATAGATTTCCTGCATTTTCCTGTGTTAACTCTCGGTGACCATTATAAAAATAGTATTATAAACTCCATGTCTTGATCCAATTGTTCTCTGTGTACAACCCCTGACTACAACATTAGGTCTCTCTTAAATGTGCTGTTTTGTGTCTTTGTTCTAGATCTTTGAAAATTTGATTACGATACGTTCATGAGCTTGCTCCTCTTTGGGTTGAATTTGTCTGGTAATCTTTGAACTTCTATATCGGCATTTGTCATCTCTACCTAGATTTTGGAAATTTTCAGTCATTGTTTCTTTAAATTAATTTCTGGGTCATTTTCTTTCCTTTAAGTATTCCTGTTATGAAAATGTTAGTCTGCATAAAAGTTTCACATAACTTCCCTTGATTTTTTCATTGTTTTTTCTTTTTGTTTCTTTGACTAAATAATTTCACTTATCCTGCCTTTGAGCTTACTTTTTTTCTGAATTCTTTGTCAATTGTTTCACAGATTTCTGTTTCATCCTGACCAATTATTAGAACTTTGTCAGTTTCTTTTAATGGAGTCATATTTCCCAATTTTTTCATAGTCCTGGTGTCCTTACATTGATACATGTTTCAGAGATGATCACTTCTTCTGGTCTCTGCGCATGCTCTTTGGTGGTGATAGACCTTTATCATTTAGTTCAGCCTGGGGTTCAGGATGGCTGGCTGGCAGCAAAATAAAGAGAGCTTGGTGTTGTTTCCTTTATTTTAACTGGGGCATTTTCTAGGCCAAATGCTAGTGGTTTGTTGTACTCTAGGGTCTGGTGAGACCACAGGCTGAATTCTGCTTCCATGCAATCATTTTGATGTGGTGGGGTTGTAGGCTGTCTT